TTGGATATATTGGGAAATGAGCTCTCTGCAAAAATTATTATTAATTTTGGAAGAACAATTCCATATTTACATAAACGTTTGGGAGGCTCAGGAGTGAAGAGCAACAAGCGTAACTATTAGTCCTTATATTATTTAAATGTCTGTTAAAACCACGTTTCTAATCTGTATCTTCTTTTTCTGCTTAACTGCCTGATCTTCCTCAGCCTGAAGAAAGGGGACCTGTATACTTGTCAAATTCACTGCAACTAGAAAGTTACAAGGCTCATGTGTTTTCCAAATAGCAGTGGGAAAGGGAAAACTTTTGAGCAGACAACACGCTGGGATGATTGACTGGGGTGAAAGAGTCCACAAGTGGACCTGAAGTAAGGGATAAAGCAAGTTGGAGGCAGAGCAAAGGGTAGAATTGTAGGATCCTCTCTTGCAGTCCGGATGCTTTTTAGGAGACAAAGGGAGGAGTTTCATATTAGCTCTGGTTTGTAAGAAATACATTGGAGAAAATAATAGGTAGTCACCAGCAATCAAGTTGGAAATGGGCAATAATGACAAATGGTCATTGGATAAATTTCCAAACGTCGCATACTGCTGTATCTTGTGCATGTTTGATATATTGTCCCTGACAGACTCGAATATGATTTCTTTATGCATTGATAAGCATTGAAAGGTTTTTTCATGCCATTAAGATGTTCAGTTAATGAGAGATGGAAGCCCCAGATAGATTCAGAAACGGCATTTTGGCATGAATTCCCACACCCTTTGTTTCGCAGGAGCTTACAGTATTGTAGCTGGATTTCAGGTTCTCTAAAACTGCAGAAGTCCCTGCTGTGCCTCAGACATCTTGTTAGGATGTCATGCAGGTCACTTAGTGCTAGCTCCACAAAGGCACTTGGGCCTGATGGTGATGCTCATATATCATCAGTAACTTTTTGGTGCTTGGCCGTAACAGTGGAGGCCACAGCCGTAAGTTAGGTTCCTAAGTTTATACTGGGGGATGTGAGGCAGTCGGGTACGATTCCCAACAGCCAGCATGAAGACACCTCAAGCTAACCAGTAGAAGGTGCTGAAGAGGCAGGTGTATCTGCAATCCCACTTTTTTCTGAACCCAGTAGCTCTTAATTCAGTATGCAGGTGAGATTGAGGTTTACAGATATAACTCCTGGGAAGGGTTTTGACATACAAGTCATCCCACTTTGAGGCTGGAAGCATGGCTGACATTTCTTATAAGAGACCTGGTGATAGGACCTCTTTATAGAATAGCCTGAAGCTTACAGCCTTTGCCCAGGGAGTCGGAAACCTGGGTTTAGTGCCCTTCTCACCCTTGAAGTGATTTAAATCCATGCCTTGTACTTCCAAGGAGAGCATCCTAACTGCTAGGCTGTGATGGGGACACTTCTCACCCTTTCTGTTGAAGATCAGTTCTGTGCAGCAGAGAGAGAGATCAAGAATAAGCATGGCTCTGCCCCAGGCATCAGCTAGGAGATAGGAGTCCTGGGTTCTGGTCCCTGCTCCTAGGACTAATCATGTATCATATTCGTTGAATGAAAGTGGCCATGGCTGCTGTGTTGTGCTGAGCTCAGTGTTCTCAGTCTGTATTAAGCGTGGCTCAATTCAGTAGGTACACTGAGACCCTTCTGGGAACTAAGATGCAGGGGCAGCTTGGTTGTAGATTCAGATGAAGCCTGAATAATTGTCTAGGTGCTTAGAGAACTTTATTAGTGAAACTTAGACACCTATTGCTTTTCACACCCCTGGGTAGTGGTTTTGTGGTGGTTTTTTCTAGACTTAGTCCATTTGCCAGCGTCCTTTTGTGGATCTCTCTCGGATCTGTCCTTGCAAAATGGGGATGGTAGCACTTTCCCCACCTTACAGGAGCATGGTGAGGTTAAATACAGGAAGGAATGCATGGCACTCGGTCTGGAAGTGTTGTCCCTATAAATACCGAAGGTAAATCGGTTTGAATAAATCTCTTGTGTTCCGTTCTGCTTACTGAATTAACAAACTGTGGTCTAGGCACTCCTGTTTTCTTCCGTATACCCCAGTCAAGAGTTTTTTCTTAATGAGAAGAAAGTAGTTTGCCCCTGTGTAACTTGTACTTCCAGTAATTCAGACTTAAGCATAGTGACACAAAATAGGCTGCCTTACTATGCCTCATTAATTAGTTACTATTTTTGACTCCCTTACTTAGTGTTTCTAGAGGAAATTTGGTAACCTTTTCAAAGAATGGTCACACCCATTCAGACACTGGTTCCTAGAAACATGCCAGCTTGAACTAGCATTTAGTAAATGCATGTCCTTTTAAATTATTATCTCATTTTTATAACTAATGTGATCAAGGGGATCATATTCTTTAAGCTCGAACTGGGGACTTAGAATTGTATTATCAACACATCATTGATTTTTCTGGCAGTCATTTAAAGGCAAGAATTAAGAAAACAGAATACATTTGTACAACTTCATCAGGTTTTCTAAGAATCTTTTTTCGGTTTTATCAGATGGAAAAAGATATGATTTAATTAGATGTCTTATCTCAAACTTGCTTTGGAAATGATTCCTCAGCCGTCTGATTGGACACGCAGGATTTAAAGTGTACAAGTGACAGATGTTGATAATGTAACAGCTTATCATTTGAAGAATGCTTTTAGTTTTTAAAAATGTCTTTAGGCAATGTATTTGTAAATTTTTTTATGGAATAAAATTGTAATGTTAAGATGCTGTATTTTATGTAGAAAGGTGTTTTTTCTGATTTTATAATTCTTTCTATAAAATCTCATTAAGTGTCGAATAAACTAGTTTTGGTTCCTCTAAAAGGTACCTAAATAATAGGAATTTCAGCATGTCTTGTATGGTTTTCATTGTGCAGATTGTCGTTTGTCAGTTGATTTATTTGGCCAGTGACTGTTTTAAAAAATATACCAGTACGTGGTGAGCATTCTTGAATTGCCTTATCAATGCCATGGGGAGGTCGCTTCATGAATGAGGAAGGAGTCTAAAAGGACAAGTTCAAGCATTTAAAAATATTGTGCTACCGACAGTATTAAAATCATTTGGCAACCTGTTTTGGAGGCTGTGCTATTGACAAAGTGTGTGCTTCTTTCTTAGCTGGACTATCCAGGTGGGGGGAAAAAGGGAGAGCATCTTAAGCTTTGGCTCTACCAAGATTTTTGTGTTGGAAACTGTAACACTCGTCTGGGACTTAATGTATCTAGAACTGATGTGTCAAGAGAGTGTCATAGTACCAAGGGGACTGCATTTAAGGTGCAATATCCTATGAACTATCCAGTCTCAGTAATAAACTTATTTTATCCAAAATCACACAGCTTCCATGTATCCAACTTTTTGATAGCATGTGTAAAATGGTAATAGATAACATAATTAAGGAGCCTGTCCTGTTGCACATCAGGGCTAGAAATTCTTCAGTGGATCTGTGAATATGTATTAAGGATCAGTATATCTTTGCCAAACACAGGTCCTGGGATTTTTTAAGTGGAGGAAACCTGAACCTTGGCCTTTAGTTTCAGTGCTTTATTTGTAGATGTCACTCCAGTATCTGAATATTCGCTTGAAATATTAAGCACCACTTGTGTGTTGGGTTGAACTTTAACTATATCCACAATATGTATGTGCATGCATATGCATACGTGTGAATATATATGGGAAACTGAGGCAGAAATGAGCAAAATGACTTGGCAGAGTTTGCAGAAGTAGCTTGCAGTGGAACCAGTAATAGAACCCAGATCTTCCTGATTTACTAGACCTATTGTTTAGCCAAAAGACTATCATTTGCTGATAAAATAATAGATAGCACCTGAGCGAGAAAAACAGTCTCAAGAACTGGCAACACTGGATGATCTGTGTGTAATAGCTGCAGTCAGAATACAACAGATTGTGTGTGAAATTTGTCTAAATGAAAACTAAATGTCAGATTGCATTCATATAGAAAGCACTTATTTGTTAAAAGCTGTTTAGGTTATTTTTTTACCACCTCTCTGAATGAGAAGTTATAACCCAGTTTGAATACTGAAACTGTTGCCACATTGTTACTTTCATTAACCTTTGACAAGAGTTTGCTTATAAGCACTGACTCTTCAAGTAACCTGCAAAAGCAAGTATAGGCTTCCTCAAAAGCAGTTTACATGTGGGCTCCATTTTTGTCCTTTTTCTCCTACTGCATAATGTCCTGCATCTCTCAAGGACTTGGTCAGAAATATTAAGGAACCTGATCATGGTACTGAAGCAGCTTTCATAAAAATCCTGCAATGTACTCTCAGAGTCATTCTCTGTAACTGGCAGCTTTGTACACACCTTTCTTATCTTAATGTCTGGAGAGATGCTTGCTGTTTAAAAACTATTGGAAGTTTCTTTGCTTTACTACATTACATTGCTACTGGTTTGGATGGTGATTATGTTCTGTTTCCTTATCTGTTCTTAGTACTCTGGCATTAATTCTCGTGATTGTCAATCACAAGAAGCACTTGTTATTAAGCATCCCTTAAACTAAAGCAAAGTGAAAAGTGGGATTGGTGGAGTCCACAATCTGAGCCCCCTCCCCCAAATTTAGGGAAGTCACTTGGGGTTGGAAGAAAAAGTAATGTGTGGACAGCTGCCCAATCAAGTTGAAGTTCTTGGTTAAAAATTATAGTTGCTGGCTAACTTTCTCAATGAGGGCATAATACATATTCTTGTCTAAGAGTAGAAGTTTTACAGGGATTAGGCTCCCTATTCTCTAAGGTCCCTTTGAATATGACAGCATCTGGGCTTGTTTTACAATGCATATATTGAATGGATCTTACAAAACAGATGATGGAAAGAAGCTTAAAATACGTGGTTTTCAGAAGATTGCAGTTACACAATTCCTAAGGAATTGTTTCACAGCTATACTGTGGAATATTTTAGCCTAGCTCTCATCAGAAGTTTCTCCGTTGCTCCTGATAATGCTTTTTTGCAATGAGAAGTTCACGATAAAACTTAAAATACTTTGGTAGCTTCAGAAAGCAAATTGCTAATGCTGCATTTTTCTTTTAGGCATTCTCCAACATAAATACCCTACTCAGCTAAAACCAAAACTTCACTGTTCCTGGATCACCTAAAGGTACAGGAAGCTTACTTTAAATATAGGATTCAGTAATTTTTATCTCTGTTAGTATATTGCCTTTTCTTTGTGTAAGTTAAGGAGGCTTTGAACTGATAACATTATGTTATGCAGTGGAAGGAGATGTTTTGTCTAAAACCTCCCATTTTTATTTGCAGCATCTCTGATAATTCTGACGCTGAAGAAATTTAGCGGAATTGGTCATTTCAAAAAACTCTTGCCCACAGTGTTTTCTTGAGGGGAAAATTGGGTAATTTTTGGCTGAGTGAATCTGGGTCCTACACTCAACTGTGATTAATTTCCTGTTTGTCTGCGTGTAATGTGATAACTGTAGATTTTCAAGGAATATTCTAGGAAAATTGGGAAGACTTGAAGGAGGGAAACTTAACTCCATGCATCTGATTAGCCTGCCCCATTTTAGGCAGGTCTGTCACTGGCTTCAGGTCCAAGAACTGGTCGATGCTGTCATCCCCTTTCCCTGTTTTAATAGGTGCTAAAATACAGACTCTAGTTAAGCAGTTGGTTTGAGGGGAGCGCCAGTCACCAGAACTTAATGAGCACATGTGCAGATCGGTTACATTCGTTTAAGATACTTAGGTGGCTAAATTTCACCAGCAGAATGCCCCTGTTGTTGGAGGTTGTCAAACATGACCGAAGTAGGCTTTACAGACTCTATGTTTTATGTAAAAGTTCTTTGTAGGCCGTTCCTGTGGTCCACATTTTATACTGTACTGTTAGCAGTCCAAAATTATCAAGAAACAAGTACTGTATTTACTAGAATCTACAAAGAGGTTTCCCCTGCAAGTAATGCTCAAGGAGTAGGGAGAGCCCCTAGTCATAGATTCAGATACAAAGTAGTGGGCTGGGGGATCAGGGCCAGAGCGACAGCTACTGCTTTGCCTCCGGCCCGCAGGCTGCTGCGCCTCTTCCCCTGTCTACCCTTGCTCAGCTCTGGCCCACTCCACCCTTGGCCACAGAGGGAGCCTCAGCCTGGCCCGTGGCAGCTCTTGCCGGGCCCCTAAGCTTGGACTGCAGCTGTTACTCGGCCAGTCAGACTGGGGCTGGAGTAAACATGCTTCGTACCCCAGGGTGGAGCAGGGCCAGAGCCTGATGGAGCCAAGGTAAGGGCGAGGCAGAGGCTGCACTGGGGGGTGGGGGGAAAGGTGGCAATGGGAAGGGGTTGCAGGGGAGCAGAGGCAGTGAGGGGAACAGACAGCACAGGGCAAGGTATGCCAGAGCAAGGGTCAAGCTGCTTGACCCTTCTCCCACCACTTGCCCCCCTGCTACAGCTGTGTGTGTGGGGGGGTGCATTTAAGACAACTCATAATTAGATTCTGTACATGGAAAATTATAACTAATTTACCCATTTAGTGTAGAATCTAATTATTGTGGGGTCATCTTAAATTCAGAGTCATTCTGGATTTGGGCAAATAGAATAATTGGAAACGTTAAAAATGGAACCAGCAAGCCTACCCCAACGTACAAAATCTGTTATCCTTTGCAGTAAGGATGAATTTTTAGATTCTTATGGCACTGAATATAACTATTTGTTTTAAAACAGTTTTGTATTAGTTGCGTGCATGCTTCCTGCAAGTTACCTTTAGATTTTAATATAAATGGGCCTAGCTTGAGGTGAGGGTAAGGGCCGGACATGGTGACAAAAATGTATCAAGGCGCAAAGAAATATCTTTGTACAAACATTTGATTCATTGATAGAGGCCCAGGTAAAAGGATACATTCACTGGAAAAAGTTTCATTTGCAACAGATTTCTCTGTTCTCTTGGTTTGTGGAAAGGGGAAAGCAAATAAAAATTTACCTTTGTAGATTCTTTAAATTCACCCTCCTTGGTAGATGTTTCTGCCACTGAGACTAGGAACAAACAGTACATTTGTCCATGGGCACATTGTGTCTTCATTTGTCTGGGTACAGAAATATCCTGGCATTGGTGCGTACACACATTGCCATTTTAATCGGGGCTTAGTGCACTGTTGCTCTTCTGCCATTGCAGTCCTAGAATAACCATTCAAATGCCACTTGTGATGTCCCAGGATCAGCTGTTGGTACCTGTTTATCCTAAAAAGATTAAATTTTCCAGATTTGTCCTGGGACATTGGACATGGATTTCTGAACCACTGAACTTTGTCCCAGGAAAAAATGGCTTATTTGGGGACAAAGGTGATTTTTTTTGTAGCCAACGATGGAAAGAAGCTTTTGCATGGTCTTGCTTTGTTAATTTTTCTGGCTGGCCGTCTTGCTCTTGTAGATTCAAAGCCATTTACATGGGAAGGGCATGTGAAATTATCCTCAGTTTTCACATGTGGAAACTGAGGCAGATAAGTGTGCTGAACAGTTCTGTTTTGTTTAACCATTGTTAGTTGGTTTCTTATGCAGCTGGAAATCTTATTTCATTTTTCCAGAGGGCAGAATGAAGGCTGAGCTGTTTCCATTTCCTTGAATTAAGCTGGGCAGGGTGGGGGGAAAAGTTGTCCTGAACAGAGAAGCAAACTTTTTTTAATAGCTGTTGCCTCAAACCTTACTAGTCTGCTTACTGAACGTGACAGTGTGTCCAGGGCCTTGCCTATAACTCCTTAGGCTTCGGAGAAATGAGTTATGGCCTATGAATACGTGTGCAGTTTTTGTTTTGTTTTTTTTGGTCTGTTTGTGGAATGTGAACAGCTGAAGTCTATTCACAGTTGGATCCGTGTCTAACACCTTATTGTTTCAAGCACTTGGATGTGAGCTGGAGAATTTGTAGATAATGGCTGAATTGTCTGTCTTGAGCAGTATTCCAACTAGAGGTGTTTGAAAGGAAGCCTTTTCAGGCTATAACTCCTGATGGAGACCGATCTGTGTAGAACAGTTTCAACTGTGCATACATGTGGAGCTCTATCATCTAGTTTTCCACAGTAAATATAGACAGTGAGCTAATAATATCCTGCTCAGAGACTTGCTCCCATGCAAAATAAAATGCTAGGGCAGTTTTGGAATAGCTGTGAATTTGGTCTGATCAGAGTGCCATGCCTTGTGGGCAAAGGGAAGAAGTCAGTAAGTAATGTAAGGAGACTTTGAAGCGTTTATTACAAATGCTATATGCTAAATCAAAATTATAAAGAGCCCTCATGCTTGACATCGAAAGAAAACATAGGCTTATTCTCTCCGGTATACACTGGTGTCCTTGGGAGGGTGTTGCTGCAAGTGATTGTCACAGACTGAAAAGTAGACCCCTGTGCTGGAGAGGTACAGGAAGATCTACTGGAATCGGCGCACACACAGTTCTGCCACCTTTCTCTTGGCTCCGTCTATTCGAGGAGATGCAGCACTCTTGGCAGGACGGTGATTTAAAAGGAGTAGCATGGGCGCTAAGGTGCACGGTTGACAGCCCAGGGGTTGCAGGTTCAAGGCCACAGCAAAGGCATTCGTAGTGCAGCCCTATCAGATGCCAGTGAATCTGCCGATTCTGCTAAATACCTCATCACAAGGACATGAAAAAGGAAAGGAAGTGATTTAAAATATTCTAAACTATTTGGAAAGGAGTGGGTTCATATGACTGTTCTCCCTGGAGTCCTGTAGCAAGTCACCTGAAGAGGGGGGGGAAAAAAAAAAAGTTCAAGAATGAGGAGATGTCTGGGTGACACTGAAAGCATGGTGGGAAGTTTGCTTTTAATGAGAAGCCTAAAATGTTGTCTTGCATTTCTGCAAAACGAGCAACTCTGAGATCCTAGCTTTTGACCAAAGTGTAAATTGTTCACTTGTAAATTGATTTCCTTCCCCCTCTAATTTCTAATAAAACAAGCCTTACACCATTTAAAATTTTATTACTGTCCATAAGCATTCACCAAAACGAGTTGCATATATAGATATGCAGAATGTCTATATCGCTGACCTGTTCTAACACCTGTTTACAAAAATAACAGTAAACTTTAATCTTTTGGTGCAAGTGAAAGCCAACTGCAACTTTTCTGAGAAGATTCACAATCTGCGAAGGTGTTTTGTGCTATGTTTCTACATTTTGGGGGTTGAAGAGGTGCAGTCATTTTAATAAGTTAATATGAACTTGCCTCTTGTATGGTTAAAATTAGCCAGAATATAGTTTTATGGTCAGTTTAAATAAAGACCATGATAGCCACTGAAACGGAATTTAGATATTTAGCCTTCAGTATGTGTTATCCTGCAGGTTATGGTGTGAAGTTAAGCTTTTTTTTGAAGAAGTACTTATCTTCTCTGAGAGTAGATTAGTTTTAACATTGATGAAATTTAGGTAGGTAAAGTTATACAGATTAAAAAGTATGCTTGTTAGTAAATCTAAGTGCTGACTTGGAAATCTGTGAAAGCTTTAATAGGCATCATGCAGCTTTAGAAATAGGCTTAATAATTCAAACACTCTTCATCCTCCAGTGAACAAAATGGACAAAGTGGAGTACAATGAGAGTAATCATGGAAGTATGCTCTTGATAAAACAGGGGGATTCCTTTGGTGATTTCCTAATTAGATTAAATATTGCACTTCATTACAATTTATACACTAACAATATTTGTTACTAGGATAATGAAAGCCAGAAAGTCTTTGGCACCACCAGCATTTCAGATGGCTATTCTGAAACCACGCGGTGAATTTGCAGTATAGGAACCCCAGAAGTGCTTGCTTACATTTTAAAGATGGCTAAATACCTGCTAAAAGATTCTGCTTTATCCTTGAGGACCATTTGGAGACTCCACTTAGAAGTACATGTTATGATCCACTTATTACACCTCTATATAGATTATATACATCTTTATATAGGTGTATACAAGTGGATCATAACATCTACTTCTAACTGGAGTTTCTAGTGGAATTTCTTATAGGAAGTGTATTTTTCTTGTTCATGTGCTAGCTTGTTTTAAAGTGCAAATTAAGATGCGAGAGATACCAGCTATCAGATTTCCTTTTCCCTCTTAACTGTAGTATAGAGGCAGTGACTGACTGAAGAAGAGTGCATTGCTTTAAACATGAAGGACATGAGTAGCGTTTTCTGTAAAGGGTCATCCACTGTAAAGTTGCTTTCTACGGTGGTCTGAACGATAGTGAGCATGATTCACAAGCTATTAGGATTTGTTTGTTTGTTGTTTTTGTTTTCTCTTTTAAAAAAAAAAAAAAAAAAAAAAAAAAAAAAAAAAAAAAAAAAAAAAAAAAAAAAAAAAAAAAAGGGAATTAAAAAACACCTATAAATTATTTTGCTTAAAGTGACATGGCACTGGTTGAGATGGACTGACTGGCATGGGGAGGAGTCAGTTTAGCTCTGTATGATTTGTTACTCTGAGCTGTAGGATCTTATGCTCTTTGCTCGGCCAATAATTTTTTTCACTATATTCAAGACTATTCAGCACTTCTGGTGCTACATTATTTTTAATTAGATAGAAGAGCTAAATACCTTTACTCTGGAGCCTCCTTCTAAATTCACTCTATCGTGGCCTCCGAGTGTTCTGGGTTTTTTTTCTTTTTTAACAAAATATTTTCATGAAAAGCTGACTTGCTAGACTTAAGAGGGTAAGAAATGTGAAACTTCTGTAAATTTTGATAAGCAACTGTAGATGTTCTCTGACATTTCAAACTAATCTGCATGCAGGAATAAACTAGTTTTCTTTATGTTTGATACATTTATTTTTTCTGTTGCGTATTGTAAAGCATTTAGAATGAATCAGTCATTGCATTTTAGGTATTTTGAGCTGTGGGGCTGAATTATCATGCTGGAAATGTTCAGAATATAATTAAGTCAGTGTGTGCATTATTGATCCAGGGTTTAAACATGTGCGACTTGTACAGTGTATAAAAGTCCCTACTATATTTGCTAATATTTTTATATTTGACCCAATGAAAAGGGAAACCTTCACCTCCTTCATTATGTCATGTTGTGAGCTACTGTAAAGCAGAGTGAAAACACACAAACTGTTGAACACAAACAGCCTTGTACAAAGTCTCCAAAGACAGGTAGAGAATGCCTGTTGGAGGGAGTAGAGGTATTTCCAGTAATGGTTGCACTATAATCCCTGTGCAGTTCCTTTTCAAACAGATATGGAAAACGATAAAATCAGTTCAGTCAGGTGAGGATGAATAGCTCCCATTTCTAGAGGAAGGGCCTTCTTTCTCTGTAATTTAGATGATAAAAATGTTTAACTGTAGTCATGAGCCAAATAAGAATATTGGCTGTGTGATTAGGATATGTAACAAGTGCATGGGAACCAAAATCTTAAAACTGAATCATTAGAAGAATTCTTTTCTTCTTTACAGAGTAACTTTTACTGTAGGGAATTATTAAAATTCTTATTCTTAAATAAGATGTTAGCCCCGTTATCTAAACTTAATTCATTCATAATCAGTTGTAGATCTCAAGAAACAATGACTGCCTTGGGTGAGAGCATGGAACCAGAATTAAGAGTATTTAAAGGGGACTTAATGGAGATGCATCAAAAAGTTTACAAATATGAAGAGAAGGATCAAAATCAGTGAGTTTAGTAGATTAGAACCCCCCAACAGAGATCCATTTACCTGAAATTCCTTCAGCTACAGATATTGTATGACTTTCTGGATGTGTCAGTGTAATGAAACAGGAAAGTTTTGAGTTATTTTGCAACATTACATTTGCCTTCTGCAGCCTCTTTTTTCCTCAGTCCCTTTTTTCAAAAGCACTAATGCAAATAGCCTTATGTCTGGATATTCTTGAATACAATTTCCTGCTACAGGTCTTCCTCAGTACTAGTTAAAGGGGAAAAAAAGATCACTTTGCCCTCCCCCCGCCCCCTTTATATCGGGAAGCTCATTCACAGGCTCAGAATTCAAAGCCTGCGGAACAGTTGTACTGCTGTGGTGCTTGTAATAACACCCGGGTGGTTTCTGGAGCAGTGATTTCACTTTTATTTTTCATCATAAAGTTATGATAGCATAAACCTCTGCCAGCTAGCCTTGTAGAAATCTGCATTTGGGATGAACATGTGTAATAAATATTTAACTTGGCGGTAAAAAATGATTTTGAATCAGTAAATGGATGGGTAGATGATAAATGGTTATTGGCAGCTTGGCTTTGGCAGGTATGATTTCAGCATGCTAGCGTATATTTAGGCTGGACTGTCTGGACGTGAAGATAGAATCCTGTTATGTTTGCCTGCAACACTATCTTGAACCTAGTAGTAGAGAAAAGCTCATCACGCAATACTTCACATTGAATTGTTCAAGTTTGTCACTTGGTTACTTCCAATTAAAATAGACAGTTTTTTAAGCGGCATTGCAGCATTTGGCTAGAGGGCCACAGAGCTGAGCAGTTCTGCCCTGACATTTGAACTGAGAATGAGGGACCTTCTAATTCAATTAGAGAGAATCTCCAAAATTTAATATAATTTGTTAGAAAGTTTATATGCACTTCTGCCTGCCTTCTTTCTTGTTCCAGTTACTTAAGCATTTCCTTTTGGTTCCAGGGACGGGCAATTATTTTGGCCAGAGAGCTGCGTGCTGAGTTTTGGCAAGCCATCGAGGGCCGCATGATAGGCAGCCAGGGGCAGATAAATATTAATTTTCTAAATTTTTAGGGTCCCCGCGGGCTGGATAGAATGGCCTGGCAGGGCGCATCTGGCCCCCAGGCCGCATTTTGCCCACCCTTGTTTTAAACCATTTGTTTTATGGTCTTTCCATAAACATGTGTAATCCTTATTAAATTTAGCAATTTCTGCTTGTGGAGATAAACCTAACATGTACACTGTGGAGGTCTGGAGGGCTTTGAAATTTTGACTTTGCTCATTGCAACCTACATAGAAAAAGTGAAACTACTTCGGACTGTTCTGGAGTGTGTTTTCTCTGAGCAGTAGTTTTGTAAACGGTGGTGTGATTTTTACCTACCTGTTGGAATTAGAGGCTTTATTGCTAAATGGCAGTAAAGATGAAATTCGGATCCTTGAAACTTCTGTGTTAAGTATTCCAGCAGTGCCTGTCAGGGTAGGTAACTGGATTTGTTTTGTAAGTGGATTCACTGCTGATGTAGAAAACAGATGGGTAGTTAATCTTAAATGAGCAAGCATAAATTAAGCTTCTGTAGTTCATTTCTGTTGTGTAAACAGCCAACATGAAGCTTAAATTCTAGGCCGTGTGGATTTTGAAGTATCTTGTTAAGATTTTAGTGATGGAAGTGGCTTACTGTACACAATGGACACTTTAAGACTCCTTATACTAGCAAAATAAATGCAATGCAATGCATGCTTTATATATAATAGTTCGTTCATGTTCTTGAATTATTGACTGTTAAGTATTTGGTATAATTGTCTGTCTGTCTTCCTTACAACTTTTAGGTCAACCATTAGGCTCCATCGCACTGAACTAATCTGCATTCGAAGCTGTTCACCTGCAGTAATTCGCATTGGTTAGAATTGAACATGTCTCAAATTCAAATTCAGAATCCATCTGCTGCCCTCTCGGGGAGCCAAATCTTGAATAAGAACCAGTCTCTCTCTCAGCCTTTGAGTATTCCTTCTACCACTAGTTCCCTGCCCTCTGAAAATGCAGGTAGACCTATTCAAAATTCTGCTTTACCCTCTGCATCTGTTACATCCACCAGTGCAGCTGCAGGTAAGAATATGGATGTACATCTATTCTTAGCTTTGTTTTATGATCTGATATGGTTTGTTTCTGGTAGTTTTATTTAATAAGGAGCAATAGTCTCAAGTTGCAGCAAGGGAAGTTTAGATTGTTTTTCTCTTAATATTCAGTCTCATTAGGAGGGTGGTGAAGCACTGGAACAGGTTACCTAGAGAGGTGGTGGAAACTCCATCCTTGGAGGTTTTAAAGGCCTGGCTCGACAAAGCCCTGGCTGGAATGATCTAGTTGGGGATGGTCCTGCTTTGAGCAGGGGCTTGGACTAGATGATCTCCTGAGGTCCCTTTGAATTTTAACTTCCTATGATTCTGTGGCATCGAGGAACTCTGTTTCGCACGCTGTTTAAAAACCAAACCAAAACAAAAAAACCCAACAATCTCCTTCCCTCCCCACCCCCCAAAAAAACAACAAACCCTGCACCAACTATGTTGGCTTGCCTTGTTTTATCCCTGTTTAAGCCAATGTTCAGACTTGTTTAAAGTTTTTGAGAAAAAATGCTACCTGTACTGTGTTCAAAACAAGATGACATTGAAGATTTGACAACACTTTACAAGGTTTATGTGGTGGTACAACAGTTTTAAGTACAGTATTTTAAACCAACTGGCAGTTTTTCATTTATATTTGACAGCACAGGGATTGGAGTATGTATGAAAGGAGGAGCCCTTGTTATGTTAGCTGGTTTTTTCCCAAACCAGAATAATACCACTCTTCCACAAGTAGTGCTGTATGCCATCTTCATGTATATTTGACCATGTTCATAATAAACGATGCAATGAAGATGTTGCATAATAAACAGTAGTATGATCAAAATGCATAAACTCGTATTTTTCTAGAAAAATGCAAAACAGATAATGGGAGGTGGGGGTGTAATGAGATTAAACAAATTCTGAAGTGGGCTGGGGAAAGAAAAACCAAGAAACAAGACCTAGCACTTCTAAAAATGTTTAAAAGCAAATTATCACAGTACCTGCTAAGAAAACTTGGTAGGCAGAGTATATTACATGGATCAAAGGTGAGACCACAACCTCTTAAACGTCAAACCAGGTCTCTAGGTGCTGGGGTAGATGTCTTTTGAAAACAAGCCTCTGTAGTTGTTGTCATATTTGTGATATATGTTGTTAGAATGTAAAATTTTTAATAGTGCTTTACATAACTGTACTTGAGGAACCTCTAAATCTGCCTGATCTTCACACATTTGAGAAATAGCTGGGGATCCCTGTCCCAAAACTGGAAGTTTGCATGCTCTTATCAGCCCTTCTGCAAAGATGCAACAAATCTGATATTTGAATTTTTGAGAACTGGAGCAGTCTTAATGCCCACCTGGTCATTTTATGTTTCTGTCTTATTTTCCAGCTCCTTCTAACATGGCAAACCCCAAAGAGAAAACCCCAATGTGTCTTGTGAATGAGTTAGCCCGTTTCAACAAGATTCAGCCCGAGTATAAGCTTTTGAGTGAGCAAGGTCCAGCTCATTCTAAGGTAATTATTAATATAAATGCCTAAACATTGCAAGTCATAAAGAACTTTTGTGACTGGGAACACAAAATATGTAGCTCTTGTGCAGCATAACTTGCTGTAGTGGAGGTACAGGTAACTTAATGAGACATGAAAGGTACTTTAAATACAGTGCACTTTTCAATACACAATTCATACAATGGGTATCCTGAAGTTGAGGAAGGTAAGTTACCTGTTTGGATTAAAACTTGTCCCTTGATAACTAACTTCTAGTAAATGGCTTATTTATGTTCTCACAGGAGATGTGTAATGTCTTTGAGACTTGCATTACACTGTATGGCCTAACTACAGTATTTAACAGTATTAGCAATTGGTTCCTAATATAATGCCCACCTTTGACTTCATTGCCTTTTGTGCTGAAATTGTCTATGCTCTTCCTGTCTGAACATGATTGAGGAAAACCAACATCTGAGTAGGAAGAGAGTGAAAATACTTTTCCTTCTCCAAAAATATATACTGATTGCACCCTTAGAGAGGCAGTGAAAATGGTTGAGATCTGACTGATTTTTTTTTTTTTTTTCCCCCTTTTGGCAAAATAGTTCTCAATCAGAGTGCTAATGCTCTTTTGGGGGTGGAGGCAAGGAGTGCAAATGTGAAAATCTCTTTTGGGTTATTCAGTTAACTACTTACTGTTTTAGAAGTGTAAACAATTTCTTCCCATATGTATAAAATACCTGTAAACTTTCCTTTGCTAACTGCTGTCTTGTAGCTGAGGACACAGTGAAACTTGCTAGAATCCGGCCTGTTGGTTGGAGAGTGTGATTTTAGTCAATGTCACCTAACTGCCAGCACACAGTAAAAGAGCTTTGTAGGCCACTCTCAAAAACAGACAAGTTAAGTCAATATAAATGTCTTCAGATCCTTATGGACTTGGTGGTGATTTACCACCGTTGCCCTGCGTAGACTTTGCATGTCTCTGACATTGTAGATTACTAACATTTTGACAGGCGCTAGTAAATATTTTGTTTCTCTAAATGCCTGCTGTTAGCATTCCAATAGCTAATGTATAGGACTAGCAAATATACAGAACACATTCCTGACACCTGGTGTGGGGGGAAAAAAATAACACGGCATTTTCTTATCAGCTTTTCACTGTGTGACTCCAGAGTTACCACCCCACAAGATAAATCATCTTTGATTTATTTATTTATTTATTTATTTTGTATACATTTAACATTAGTTTCCCTTTAAGTTGTATTGTATCTATGCTAGGAGAACGTGCTTGGGATAGAGCAGAATCAACATGTTTTCAAACTGTTCAGCGATAAGCCCAGTTCCATTTACGTCTTCAGCTAAAGGCTCCACATGCAAAGCATTTTAAAAATCATGAATACTAGGGAATAGTGTTCAGGGCAAGTGATTGTTTTGTTGGTATTCTGATCAAAATGAAGCTTCAGCTATTGTCGGGAAGAACATGGTTTACTACACATCTGATTTACTTGAGAGAACTTATGATAATAGGTATCTTTTGTGCTTACAGTGAAGTACTCAAAAGTACTCATATTAGTTAAACTTGTGTAAAATAACTGCATTATAATGACTTGGGGGGGTGGGGAATAAAACATTATACCTATGGCAAAAGTTGTTATTCCTGAGAGTGGCTTAAATATCTTTGTTGCAGTATTTGGGGAAAAAATAGTGTAAAATTAAAGTGTAAAACAAAAAGTGACTAATCGATGCAAAGTAAAAATAGACTGCTAAATGGGTAGTTACATTTCAAAAAGTTATTCAGGATAAAAGTATGGGAATTAAAAACCTCAATATCGTATCATAAATTCCCATGCCTATCAACTTAAGTACATGTTGTGGAGGCTGTTGAGTGAGTAGTTCGGACCATTAAAACAGTGTAAAGGTTTTTATTGATCCTTGTACTCAGTAACTAGGAAAGGGTGCAGGCAACTACTATGTTTGGAACATGGTGGCCAGTATATTTTGAAGTCGTATCGTGGACAATGACCTTCTTTAATTTGCAGCTACTAAAAAGTAACTTCTCAAACTAGAGGGCGAGACATATTTAAGCAAAAGGTCCTAACAACTGAGGTGAAATTATGGTGTGGGTCATCATAAAGAGCTTGCATTTCTCCTATGCAGGTGTTTACAGTGCAGCTGACTCTTGGGGACCAGCACTGGGAAGCTGAAGGAACTAGTATTAAAAAAGCTCAACATGCGGCGGCTGCCAAAGCATTGGAAGGGACAAAATTTCCTAAACCTACAGCTCGTCCATCTCGTAGCGAAGGAAAAAACCCAGGTATGTACAAGGACGGGCTATTTAAAAATTTATAGGCTGCTCGCCTCTGAACTTGGTATATATATTGACATTGCTTAAGGTTGTGTTTAAAGGTTGTGTTTAACTTGGTGAACTTGAAGTGTTGTTCTGTGCAATCACCAACCATGTTACAACTTGTGGTTTAGTTTTTCCAGTTAAAATGAAATTGTGTCCTATATCAAATGGAAACATTTTAATAGTGAGCAGAGACTAGATATGCATATAGACGCATGGGAAGTTCAGAGGTGTTGGGTTATTTTTTAGTGATGCTTTTGGATTTTGTGCTTCCTTTTGAGAAATCTTATCAAGGTTTGCTTGCCCTGGTTAGATGCTTCTAATAGTAATGGAGTTTTTTTATTTTCATGGGTAGGTAAATTTCTATGGCAGTTTTGATAGCCCAAGGCTCTATGATGTGCTTTGTTTTAAGAGTATCTGTAGAAACGAAACAAATTAATATGCTTTTGAAAGGTTTTTATGAGAACTTCAGGTCTTATGCATGGATTCTGTAGTAAGGTCTGTAGAGAATATATTGTCATTAGTAGAGCCCAGATGCTAAATTTTGATTAAGCAGGGGCTGTTTACGGTGTGAAACCAAAACTTCTACTAACCATGTGTTGTAAAAGAAATATATGGTACAGCTGCTTGTTTATGTAGGTTACATGTGAGAGAGAGCCTGCCTCTTCTGTATTTTCTCATAACAGTTAATCAGTGGTATTGTAGAAACACTGTAACGTAACTATTTGCCAGCACCTAACAAGTTCAGATGATTTCCAGCAAAAATTACTCGTCCTGTTTTCACTACTTCCATCTGTATTCATATTCAAAACTTCACTACTCAATATTGTCATCATGCCTGTGCCAAGTATTCAGTCCCAATTTGTTCTCCTTTTGAAGCAGTATTGGCATTTACCTAGCTTTACTCTGCTGTGATATTTGGACAACTATCTTCTATTTCTCTTTCTTTAGATAGTGTAACCCCCACAGTGGAGCTCAATGCACTTTGCATGAAGCTGGGAAAGAAACCTATGTACAAACCCATTGATCCTTATACAGGGATGAGATCCACCTACAACTATAATATAAGAGGTGGTGCTTATCCACCGCGGTATGTACCATTGCTTTTCTGATTGTGATTCTGGACTCTTTGAACTTCTTTTCTCCTTGTGTGCATGCAGTGCCCATGCAGCCTTCTGAATAATGGTCTAGAAGTGAACCGGGCTATATAGGAGGTTCAGCTTGACCTTTAGGCAGTTTCTGATGTTAGTGGTTTATGGAACTATCACTTTACCAAGAATCCCCAACAATTCAGGCATTTCCAATCATAGTCTCTCCATTTTTCTTTCCTCTGGGTGAGGGAGAAAACAAAATTTGAAAAGGGGAAATGGACTAAGTAGTGAATTTTATTCATTTAAGAGCACTTCATAAACAGTCCATTTTAGTAAGTAAACAAAATTATTTCCTCTTTTACTATAGTTTTAAGTGAGAAGGAAAATTAAATCCAACAACTTAAGACTTTTTCTGTAGTTGACTTGGGTGCAGGTCATGACATTGATATGGAATATTTCATTTGAGTGTAGAAGTTCATTCTTTTGAGCCTGGTAAACCATAAGGCTTATAAAAACCATATTAGGGTGTCTTACTTCACAGAAATATATTTGTTTTTCTTTGTTCTGTTGTATTGATACTAAAAGTCTACCAAATCATTCAGACTTTAAGTTTTAATGCATTTAAAATGGCTTTAATACTTAAGAGTGTCATGTTGAGCACTGGTTACTGTCACATGAAACTTGTGGATATCTAATTTATGTTCCTAAATGTTTTACTCTGTAGCTTACAAGCAATTTGCAGACGGGCAAAGTGACCTCTCTGTTTTTAGGTACTTTTACCCATTTCCTGTCGGACCCTTACTTTATCAAGTTGAGCTCTCTATTGGAGGACAGCAATTTCATGGGAAAGGAAGAACAAGACAGGCTGCTAAGCATGATGCAGCTGCTAAAGCACTGAAAGTTTTGCAGAATGAGCCCCTGCCTGAAAAACCAGAGGTAGGAATTAAAGTTCAAGTACCTTAAGTGTGAATTGAGATGCTGTGGCATGTCAGAGAGAAACGATTTAAGTTTGTTTTTTTTTTCTAAATTAAAAGGTGAATGTACTTCAGATTGGAAGACTTCAGTGTGTGAGTTGGTGTGGACTTGCTTAATGTCCAGTGGAAATAGTTTCATTTTTAGATGTCTTTCATAAAAGGAGGATTTTTCCAAATAAGTTATTTTCATTGCTTTGGCTATCGTAATTCCTGTTGCATTGCTGCCACTGCCTAAATAAGGTTGCATAAGCATCCTTAATTCTTCCATTTCCTAGCTTTTCAGTGTTTGAATTTATAGCCTTTATGGTTTTTTACTTCTTGCACATAACATCACTGTATGTGCATGTTTTTCCATGCACTGTATGTGCATGTATTTATTCCATTTTTCTAATGTTAAAAGTTTTATGACTATATTTAGACCTCCAATGCATTTCAGTAAATAAAAATAAATCAAAAAGCAGATGTATGCTGGGCTGAAAAAATGAGGAAAAAATCCTTGCACCCTGTTTAGGAGGTGAAAATATACTTCGTGACATGAATACAAGAGGCATTTTAGCAGCGATATTTTGGTTGGCCTGGGGGCAAGGCATTGAAGGGCCATTATGGATTAATTTGCAGTTGTTAAGTCTGTGGATAACAAAGCAGATTTTTTTTCTTAATTTTCCCGCAAATTTCTGCTTTACTGGATAGATTGTTTCTAAATATTTTTTAAAATTTTGTATAAAAAGTCGTCATCTCTAAGTATGAAAACTAGGTAAAAGCCATGGCCCCTTTAAAAGCCGTAGGAGATTAATACCTTCCAGGTAGTCAGAATTTCTCCTGTAAGTTTTTTAAATCCGTGGCTTTTTGACGTGTGTATGGTTCATGTGCAGCAATGATGCTCAGGTACTAACATAGCAGCTCCAAAGAGTAATATTTGAACATTTATTTTGTCCAAATATATAGCACTTACGGCTGGTTATCATGATTGACAGGCCCAAAGATAAACTTATCTTTAAAAGAAAATATTCCAGTTGTTTAAGGAAACATTGGCTAATGCAGGAACCACCCTGAGACATCCAAATCCATTGACCTACCACGGGGACCTGAGTTACCTGAGGAGACTAGATTCTCTGCTCACAGTGCACACAGGTGCAGCACTGAACTGATAGCACAGGTGTTCATCCATGACCTAAAACCATGGTAAAAATTGAACTGTGCATCATCTAATTTTGGCATTATTCCTAGCTAATGCTTGTGCATCCTGCATCTTTAGGAAGCTCTAATGCAGGGTCTGGCAACATACAGCTGACCAGTGGATTCATGGGATCTGGCCCACAGAGTTGGATGGCTTTGCTTGCTGCTTTTTTTTTCTGTCTGGTCTAATGCAGACCAGGTGTTTTCAGCAGTGTGTCAGCAGCAAGTGGCCAGATACTGCTGCTTCCTCAGACCCCCCGCTGCTTAGCTGCTGAGTGGGCAGTGAGGAGCTGTGCTAGAGCCAAGCTGTGCCCCTAGGCAGGGGGGTGAGCAAAGGAAAGTGGAGAGAAGCAGGAGCGGCATGGATGCAGTTTGCAGATATGTGGTCCCAGCGCTGGAAGCTGTAGCTAGGAAGCAGTGGGGTTGGGAAATGTGTCAGTGGTATGGGCACACCTCACAGGTGTGGGGAAAAGCTTTCTGCTGCTAATGTGCTGCCAAAGCCACCCAGCCTGCATTGGACCGCAGCAGAGTTGTTGTGGCCTGTAGCTTGTGAAAGGTAGCTGAGCCCCTGCACTAAAGAGGATTTTGGAACACGTGTTCACAGATTTGTTCACACTGCTGTGGGCGTGTCTACACATGCATTAACGTGCTTTAGTTTAATGTGCATTGAATCGAGTAACTAGGTACTAAGAAAATGTGCATTAACTAAAGAACATGGGGTTCTACCCCTGTAGAGGTGCTGCGAGGCTGCTCCGACATGCTATAATTACTGCGCTGCAGTCAGCATCAGCATCTCGTGTATCGGTGTCCCTGTGCTTCAAAATGGGGGTGGGGGTGCTTGAACTAAAGCTCATTTAATGCCATTTTGAAGCACAGGGAGGCCGACTTCAAAAGGTGCTCCAGTGCTTTAATTAGAGCAGCTCTTGGAGCCGCTATAACTATAGCATCTGTCTCCCCCTGCCCCTCCCTCCCCC